GTTGTATCGATTATATCATCTGTTATAAGTTCATGGTCATATGCTAGTTGAGTACTTATACAGCAGCTTATTCATTTGGTATAGTTAATTCAATCTAAAACATATTTATCATAAGAGTGGATATTAATAAATGTTATTTTAATAAAAAAATGAAAATAATCAATGATTAAATGGTCACTCACTATATTGGAATCCACAGGTTGGGGAAGGCTTGTAAATTTTTAATATAATATAGTTGCCAAACCGTCTTCACCTGTCTTTTCAATGTTTGTTAAATGGTTTATGTTATTCGTGTATTTTTATCAAGAGTTCAGGTGGTAATGATTTTATTTTGCATTTATCCTAATTAAACAAAAATGAAATTTATAAATAACTAGAGTGATGACAGGTGGCAACAACCACCACCATTCTTATGATAAACACTTACCCATCACTTCTTGTCTCTTTTTGACAAATTTTTTACTCTCAAAGACATTTTTTTATTGTTTTTAAAAAAATAAAGTAAAACAAAAATGTTACAACATACTATTATTATTGACACTTGGTGTTGTACAAAGATTTTTTTTTTGTCGACGTGACCTATTTTTTGGCAGAGCCCAAGATGACAAACGCGGTTTCCTTATTAATACCATATTACTAATATTATCCAATAATATTTCCAGATGAAAAAAATCAAATCACGTTAACAAAAAAAAACCAATAGGATAAGGATATGTGTACACGTCGATCAAACAACAATCCTTTTCTTCTAAATAATAAAAGTGCCGAAAGACACGAAATTAGAACCAACAAAAAAGAAGAGCAGAAAAAAAAACAAGAAAATATCACCAAGTGTTTTAAGAATTGTGGTGGTGGTTATCGCAACTAGTCGTCACTCTAGTTTAAAAATAATAAAAAATGTCTTTGAGAATAAAAAATTGTCAAAAAGAAAACAAGAAGAGGAAAGAACGAGGATGTGTTTATCATTTGATTGGATGAACAATTTGATTTTAAATCCTAAACTCTTTTAAACTTTCATTATCATTAAATTTTTAGTAAAATAATTGAAGAGCAAATAATTTTTTATACTGTATGACTTAAAAGTACAAATACAGTGAACCTCCCTAAGTGCACCCTCTCTAAATGCACCCTCCCTAAATGCACGCACTATGTATACCCTCCATAAATGCACGGTCCATCTCATCCCAAGCTTATAGAGAGCTTATAAAATCACCCTCCATAAATGCACGCTCACAAGAAATAGCACTATGTTCCCGAGGGGGGTGCACTTATAGAGGGTTCACTGTATATCTTTTTACAAAGTAACATTTTGTATATTAATGTTAGCAAATCTTAATTCAAACAATAAACATAACTTTACCAAATTATTAAGATTTGCTCAATGTATATACTGTAAGTCAATCAAAATAAAGATTGTTTGAGGTAACACGAATAGTATAATGTCTACAATTCAGGCAATGATAGAAATACGTTTATTAAAATATTTGTTTTTGTTTATTATATATATTCTATGGAAAATACAAAAATCCGATCATTTATGGTAAGAAAGACGCAAAATAAAGATGTAAAGATGTAACTTTCAACATTTCAATGATAATCTCCTTTTGGTTTAATTGACCAGGTATTTATTTCTCTCAAATTCAGCATAATCAATAATCAATAAATTTGATAATGAGACCAACTGTGTGTAATTGTTTCTTCTGGAGTTTATTCATGGAAATGTATATAATAAATTGGTATCGCGTGAGCTTTCCTTTTTTTTTTCTTTTTTCTTTCAAAGTTTAAAAAAATTTATATTTAAAAAGGTCAATAAAAAAATATTTCAAGGAAAATCCCTAATGAAATAAAAGATTTAAGCGATACCATTCAAAAGGTTGAAGTTGAACCGAACGATACATTAGTTCCTCCGGCTTTAACTTTATGTATAGAAAAAGATCTAGAATATTATTTCAGTGCCAAAGTCCAAAAAATTTTTTTTTTCTTATTTATTACTTTTGAAGACAAATAAATTATATGTTTTTAATAAATAATACAACCATTACATGGAAAATGGAAAAAATTTTTATATGAAAACTCTTAAAAATCTACAGGTGCTAAAGAGTAAACTTTTTTTTTTACTTAAGTAAAGACAAAAAAAAATTGATAATATGTTCTTTGAGATTTGTTTTGTTTGTGGATGTAAAAAAAAATTATGTGGTGGAACAAAAGTATAGTATATACCACTTTTCATGCAAAGGTACTCGATTAGTTGTTTTGTGTCAAATTTCCCTCATTTTTTACTATGTGAGATGTCCACCAGCAATATGGGGGTCTGAGAACTCCTGGCCAAAATTGAGTTTTTTGCATAATGTATATCTATATCATAAGGATTATAGTTGGTGAAAAATTTAGAACATGTTTACCTAGTACAATAATGAGATACAAGACTTGAAATATTTACTTTACATATCAAAACTATTTGTGTAACCAATTTTGTTTTGATTATAACACAGAACAATTTAATAGTCTCAGACCCCCTTTTGCTGGTGGACATCCCATGTATGACACACTCATTTATTTGCAGATCATCAATTAACTGTACTCAATTTGGTACAAACATGTAATGAAGTGCAAAATAGCCATCTTTTAGCAGAAGGGATGATATGTGGTTCAAGCTTATTAGAAGAAAATCCAGAACTTTATAAGAATATTTGCAAAGAAAACATTAATTTTTATACCTTTGATGATACTGAATATCAAGTTGAGCTTACATTGGATCAGAAAAACCTCATAAAAGAAATTGTTTTAAATGGCAATTTTAATATCAAATTAAATGATCAAAATCACTTGTTACATTTAGCAATGATCAATTTAGCTAAAGATTTTAAAGAGATTTGGGAAATAAAATCATATGACCTACTGTAAATGAAAATAGCTATGCCCATCAAGTAATCAATAAGATTACGAGTTTCCTTTTTTATGACATCAATAATGTTGAATCAAGATGGTAATTACTACTTGCAATTTTTAATGTAAATATTGAGAATATTATATATTGTAAGATAGTAAAAGAGGGACTGACCTAGAGTCCAAGCTGAATGCAATTAATCAAAGTAATTTACTGTGGTGGTCACGTGATTTGGAAGATAAACCAAATATTTAGACTGCGCGAAGCATGGTAATCGGAGGGAAGTTCCTTGTAGACAAAAGGACATCACAATAGAATTCTTAGAACACTTATCTTATCTATAATATTAGCCATATTACTTATTTTATAATCTTATTTATATTTTTATCATTCAGATGATGTAAATATTTGTATGAATTAATAATTCAACTTTAGTATATTTTATTGGATGGAATCATGTAAAGGTCATGTTATTTGTATAACTTCAATAGTTATAAATAAGCTTGAAATTGTCCAGCTTGTAATAATTATGTATATATAATCATGTCCATAATAATAATAATTCACTTCATAATTTATTAAATAAACTTTCTTTGTGAATACCTTTTAATATTACATTATTGAATAATGTATCCAAGAGGACATCCTTAGGACTTATAGATGTATATAGAATGTCGTGTGCAGCTGGAGGATAAAACAGAGGAGACCTACCAGAATTCTTCTGCAATAATAAGGGCAGTTAGTGGCCAACACTAATATTATAAAAGGAAAACTAGCTAGTAAAGTAAAGGAAAGTAAGGTTTTAGAGTTTGCTATTAACAAAAGCATTAGTAAAGGGCTAGTGTCATAATAGCATTCATAGTGTCAAACTTGGACCGCTTGCTTGCAATATTAACTATATATATACATAATATTTTAGGAATGGCTCTCCTTCACAATCAACTCTATATAGAAATCTAGATGATCAAAATTTGATTAGATGTCCTGATGCATTTTATTTTGTGAAAAATTATCCGATCAATTATGAGTTTCTATATTCAGAATTTAGTAATGGTCCATGGTCAAACAACTCTAGTCACAAAAGTCATGTTCATGAAGACTTTTTCAGATTAAATCAATTTGTTAAGGACTCCTATAAGCTTATTCATTATTTTTTAAAGAACAATAATTTAAAAAGTGGTGAAAAAATTTGGGGAATTAAATATCCATCTGATTTAAATGAATCAGCAGAATCTTTAATCCAGCTATGTGGAAAACCGTTATTGCTCAAAAGAAACCATAAATTATATTAACGATCTTAACAATGCAATTCTTCAAACTCTTCAAACTGTTGTAACTAGACCAACTACACCACCTCAAGCCAAAAGAATAAAACTGGAACCAGATTCTGGTAATAGTGTTTTCACAACAATGAGTTCACCTTAATTTTTTATTTATTACCAGCAATAATGTTAATAAAAATTAGTTATTATAAAAGTAATATAAATAAATATAATAAACAGGATTTAATATTTTAATTTAATATTAAGAAAGTGCATCTAGTTTGTTTTATTACAGCTTCATTAGAATTGTTAGCTGAAATATATAATTTCAACAGATATTTAGACATTTCAACTGTCAAAATATACTCATCAAGGCTATTTGGTTTGCTGTAATGTTGAAAATGTCTAAATATCTAAATATCTGGGATACTTGTGTTTACATTTAAACTTACACTCCTTCCATTCAATTACAAGAACATTTGTCATGATATTAAGAACACAATGACAATATGTCCCATAATAGATTTGATGTAAATGAGTTTCATATATATAGTAATAGTACTAGAGAAAAAACAAAAATAACAGATGGGTGATTTTAGTAATCACATTACTAAATTTTGACCCCTGAAATTTTGGTAATACAAATGTTCACTTTGTCTGGTTTTGTTGCAGCATGCCCCAATTTATATACAGTGTAGATCATCTATAATCAATTAATTGCTTATACGTAGTAACAATTGGTCAACTTCAAAATACTAAAACAAAAAATTTTTATATCATTTTAAAAAAATTTAACTGATAAGTTTTATTGTTCATGACTCAAGCTTCAAAACTTATTGGCTGGTTTTTTCTTAAACTGGAAATTGGCTGAGCCTTAGCATTTTGAGAATTCCGAGTTTTGTTATACACTTAAGAAATTGAGACCAAGTAAATTTCGTGTAACAACTTTTTTTCATAAAATTTTCTACAACATACATTTGGTTTATTTGATTTATTTTTATTTCCTTTTTTTATTAATAAATAAAAGTTCTTTACAACAAAAAAGTTTAACGAACGTATTACATCAAAAGAAAATCATTACCAAATTTGGTCGTGGGATTCAAAATATTGTATATAACACGAAAATTATTTGAGCATAACTTTCAAATTTAAAAATTTATGAAGGGACAAATTTTTTTTTATAGATTAATAGACTCCTTTTTAAAGCTGAATTGAATGGTGGTGGTTTTTTTAAAATCCAATATGTGGATCACATAATATTTCAAAAATTTTAACTTTTGAGTATAGATGATCCGCACTGTATTTAACAGAACAAAATTGGAGAAAACAAACAATATCTGAGTTTATTAAGGGGAGTGCCCAAAATGGCATCATTGCACTCTGATATAAGCTCATAACCCTATGTCGGTATCTCAAAATTTTAAAAATAAATTTTATTGGATCATATTACGTGTAACGTCGAAGTCTCCCCTAAATTCCTTGTATATAAATATTAAAAAAAAAAAAAAATTTTATTCGAATTATTTTTTCGTTTTATTATATATCATTATTATTATTATTTCATTTTATTTGTTTATTTTGAATTCAAATTATTCATTTTATTTGTTTATTTGAATTCAAATTATTCATTTTATTATTTTATTCGTATTATGCGTATTATTATTATTCATTTATTTGGTTCAAATTATTCATTTTATTCATTTGTTTGTGTATTCGAATTCGAATTATTCGTTTTATTCGTTTATTATTTATTATTATTTGTTTATTCAAATAAACTTCGAATATTCAAATTTATAAAAAACCTTACGATTCTATAATATCGTGTGACACCAAAGAATATCATTGCTATTTGGATTTGAAAGTTTGCACCTGGCGCAGCATTTGATGTTAGATGGCGTGCACCATAGTACATTATTATTAATATGTATGTAATCTCGATAAAATACTTGGTAATATAAATAAATAACTAATTTTTGTTATGGTGATCACTCACCTTTGTTATAATAATAATGGGTGGGAACTATCCATCTATAAATAAATTTTCTAGCATATATAGAACACATGACCTCCTCGGTTAATTGTAATTGTCCGTCATTATTATGGTACGATTTTTTTATGTTGATCGTGCTATTCTTGGAATAAGTTTATTATGGTATGAATTCAAGATGTCATGATGACGATAATAATCGGGACGATTTTTTTATAATAATAAATAGTAATAGTTAAAATTTTTTAAAAATTAAATATCTTTTTTCAACTCGTTCTATATACAAATAATACAATTTTTAATTTAAAACATGACAGTTAAAATTGGAATTAATGGGTAAAATTGAATTGTTTTATTTTAATAAATTAATAAGGATAGATACTATTAATTAATTAAAATAATTAAAAACTTTTTTTGATAATTAATTATTAAATAAATTAATGAATCAAATTTAATGGCTTTTTATAAACATTTTTAGTTTCGGACGTATTGGGCGTCTTGTGCTTCGTACTTCTCTTAACAATCCTGAAGTTCAAGTTGTCGGTTTAAATGACCCCTTCTTGGATTTGAAATATATGGTATGGATATATATATATATATATATGAAAATAGAGAAACGTTGCAACGACACTAATTATACTATGATCAATAGGCTTATCTTTTTAAATATGATTCTACTCATGGAAAATATAAAGGGCAAGTAGAAGTCAAAGATGGAAAATTTATTGTTGATGGTAGAGAAATTTCAGTGTTTGCCGAAAAAGATCCAGCTCAAATTCCATGGGGATCAATCCAAGCTGATTACGTTGTTGAATCGACTGGTATATTCACCACCATTGACAAAGCTTCTGCTCATTTGAAAGGTATATTATTTTTTATTACAATTATAATATTTTTTTTTTTTTTTAAAAAAAAAAATCTAATTTTTTATTACTTTGATTATATTAGGGGTATGTTGAATTATTTTAATTATCCTTTGATTATTAAGAAAATTATTAAAAACGATAATAATTATATATTTCTTTTCATTAAATTAACAACTTTAGGGTGCTAAGAAGGCAAGTAAACTGATTGTTGATTAGATTTATCTAATAAATTTAAATTAATGATTTGCTAGAGAATTTCTAATAATGAAACATATATTATATGTATGTACTAGGTTATTATCAGTGCACCAAGTGCAGATGCACCAATGTTTGTTTGCGGTGTAAACTTGGATGCTTATAAACCTGAATATCAAGTCATTTCCAATGCATCATGCACAACCAATTGTTTGGCACCATTAGCAAAAGTTATTCATGACAATTTCGGTATTGAAGAAGGATTAATGACGACAGTTCACGCAACCACCGCAACTCAAAAAACTGTTGATGCACCTTCCGGAAAAGTAATTATTAATAATAAGAATAATGATTTGTCATGTAGATTTTAAACGAATAATTTTATTTATTTATTTATTTATTTTATAGGATTGGAGAGGTGGAAGAGGCGCATCTCAAAATATCATTCCAAGTTCAACAGGAGCAGCCAAGGCAGTCGGAAAAGTAATTAATTAAATATTATTAAATGAACTTTACATAAATGGTACTATAAGCAAATAAATAAATGTATATGTATATAATTAATTAATTATAGGTAATTCCATCATTAAATGGAAAGCTCACTGGAATGGCCTTTAGAGTTCCAACAGCAGACGTTTCGGTAGTTGATTTAACCGTTAGGTTGAAAAAAGAAACCAACTATGAAGAAATCAAGCAGAAAATTAAAC